AGGATCCACCACCGTCCTGGTATCAAACTAGTCACATGGTGGCAGATCTCCTTCTGTTCCACAAAGGTGGCGACTGCCTGCGGTCATGGCGACCTGGGGCACACTTTGGCTGGGCTGTCCTCGGGACTCCAGAGAAACACAATGGGTAAACCAGCAAGACTCCAAACAATTGAGAATACACTGGAGGCCCACACAACCAGTGAAGACGAACCGTCCAAGTATCCACGTATCCAAGTAATATTGGAGGTTATTACTATAACTTAGCTCGTCCTATTCTACCGTCCTTTGGTGCCAAAAAATGTTGCTCTATTCAGTAAACATATACAGAAAAGAATGGCAGTCGTAGAAGATTTTATACCGGATGATGGCACAATAATAATTGTTCATTGCAACACACAGACTTTCGAGATGCTTTAAAGTTTCTAAGAATGTAACCTGTAAAACCTCTATAGAATGAGTCTCAGTCAGCTTAAAATTGTGCTATATGACGACTATCGTTCCTTCTTATAGTTTTGAAGGTACTTCTCTAATTGTTGTACTAACTCGGTCACTGATGGGACTTTACCAATCTGCAAAAATGAGTGTCAGATTAGTAGAAAATAAAACCGGACGACTTTTGACTATTGAAATTGTTAGGAGAAAACGCCTCAAGGATTTGAAGAACACTTCCGCTTGGTTAACCAAATCACTCGTGGTCACGATGATGCTGCCAAAAGTACATGATTTGGCTCACCCTTATCACTGGGTCTACGAAGTGGATAAGCTTGCTCTTCCAAGGGGCCATCTCCCTGATAACCAGCTATCACACAAGCCAAAATACTTTCTTGTCATTACAGTAAAGTCAACCGACAAAAGGAAGAATAACTGTAGGATTATAGGGTCATAAAAACTGTATTTTAAGTTATATTAAACTTATTCTTCACAAAACGGACACCTTTCACTTAAGAACGGGGATAGTTATGGAATAAAACAAGCATAATTAACCTAAATGCAGCAGTTTATCGGCGTAATACAAACATCCTCTCAACGGTTTATTGCCTCATCGCGGTTGGGAGGCGGTCCTAGGTGTCGGGCTGCGATGTACATCGGGGTGGGGGTTCATCTTCCTGGCAGAGTCTCCCGAGCTGAGGAGTCCGCCGCTTCCATCGCTTCCTTTAGGAAGCCAAAGTAAGAGTAAACCAATACAAGGATCCGGCACCGTCCTGGTACCAAACTAGTCGCATGTTAGCACATCTCCCTCTGATCCACGAGGGCGGCGACTGCCTGTGGTGGTGACGCCCTGGGGCAGACTTTGGCCAGGCCGACCTCGGAACTCTAGGGAATTACAATGGCTAAACCAGCAAAATTCCGAAATGGAGATTATGCTGGAACCCGCACAAGCAGTGAGGACGAGCCATCCAAGTATCCAGGTATCCAAATAATAGAAATCATAAAGAGACAAACCTCATAATTTTGGGCCAGATATGCACCACCATAGACACCGACACAAGCTGTTACAAGATGAGAGAAAATGCCCATCGGAAATGGTGCTAAAACAGCACGGCTGTCTCAGAAAAAAACTACAAAGAGTAAAAGCCACATACCTTCAAGTTTTCTTCGTTAAAAATTGTTTCCGAGTCGGTACTTGGTAAACTGAAACACCACAATTTCAACACCTTCAGAATCTTAACATCTAAAATGGAACATTCTTCGTAAAAAATGGACAGAAAATGTGAAACATCAACACCGAAGGGGGAGGGTACTCGTCCATCGTAATTTGTGGACCAGATATAAAACTCATACAGTCAGAACGAATGCCATCTCTCAATCGAAGAGACTTATGTTTTACCTCTTTGGGCAAGAACTTAGGCACATAGGAGCTAATGACACTTAGTGTAGTATAACTATTAAGCCTTAGCCGTAAACCAAGAATTTCAGAATGCTGTAGTTTGAAATTGGTGATGAGACTATGCGTACCTGGCTGCCTGTTTGACGCGCTAGTCACGCAATCGTTTGCATGGCATGGAATTCGCGACTGACTGCGTGTGGTCATTTTCTGGTATTTGCTAGTTAGTCGCAATTGTTCCATTTTCTTTAACGAGTACTTCGTACTAGTCTAGCTTTTTGTAAGCAGTATCGAAATCCTGTAAAGACATGTAGACGCCAGAGCATCCAATGGTATTCTTTCGTGATAGTTAACGAACGCTTAATTCTCTCTTCTCTTCATAGTTAAAAGAATAAATTGAGCATCGTTGGAGGTCACTAAATGCATATCTGGTCTTTACAATAACTCGTGGTGGCCTACCGATGTATCGAACCAGTTCTGCTATTCTCCCAGACAAGTCTGGTACCAATTTGCCGACCCCGGGGGGATGGAAGGCTTGGTCATAGGCGCGGGATCGATTCCACGTGTGTGTTGCAGAGCGCCTCCGACCACTGCGCCACACGCGCGCTTCTCGCATAGAAAAATTAAAGGCTGAGTAAGCAAAATCTAAAGTCCGCAGATTGATAGGTTACATGCTTTACCGTATTGACGAGTTTTTCAAGAAATACTAAAACTGCTGTAGATTTAAAAAGATGCAAATAAACTATTTATGGATCGAAGTTCATAGACGTCGTAGCAGTCCTTCTGGTTCTGAACTTCAGTTTCAGAAATGTCTGTTGTAAGCGGCAGTGAACTTGCGTCGGAGGGAAAGTCTCAGGATACCGACAGTGGAGTTGAGAAAGCCGAACTGCGCCCTGGTGGTGCTTCACCGACTCCACCGTGCTCGTTGGACGAAATGTTCTCGAATCGGTACACTACTGTAAGCCATCCATATTGTTCTGGTGAACCTTACGTTGTATTTAGCTCGATTTTTGAGTGTTAATTTCAGAGCAACCACTCTTATGCCAAAATTTCTGAAGGGTTCGATCCCGTTATCTGTTTGTACCCATTCCATTCTAAACCTAAGCACTTTGAAAGGTAAGGCTTCTCGTAATTATGTGGTTTATACATAACTTTTATACATCCAAAATCATTTCCAGGAACAGACCACACTATGGCAGCGGTGGTAGGTGGGGTAACAACGAGCCAAGAAATGATTGGAAGCATGACAATCGAGGTGATTTCCGCAGGCATCCGTATAACAAAAGACAGCGACCGTCGTGGAGCCACCACTAATGATGAGAAAGAAACAACGATAATCAAGACACGCACCATGTGTGATTTATGTGAAGAGCAAGCTTTGCCTCTGACCCGATCAGTTTCCTTTTTCTTATCCCGAATTACTTACTGCCTACGGTTCTTTTAGATCTAACGAGATGTGTGTATTTCTAGTTTCAAAAATTGTTGTTCTATGTCTGTGACGCATTAACGACACAACATTAATAGAAACACTACTCTGTCATAACGCTGAATTGCCACAGCACTTATTGATTACCTTTAAAATTCTACGTGGCAATCGCTAATTCGAAGAATTTGTGAACAACTGTTGACTTCGCAATCGAGTTCCTTCTGAATTGGGTGCATGAAATATCTGTTCTTCCATAGTGTTTGTTTACGATACATCACCTAACGGCGTTAGGGAAGACGTCGTTATTGCAAACTTCCTCACTTTATTGCTAAGCACATAACAACGGATAGAGGATAACAACAACAACAATAAGTTAAGCATCTATCCGAATGTATTTCACAAGAGTTGATCTTTTTTACTCTTCACACCAGGCATTTTCTTTGCGGATCTGCTCTTCCTCCTCCGGTGTGAAGTCATTTACAATATTAAACATTTTGCGGATCTCCTCAGGAGTTTTGCCCTGAAAATTGTAAGAATTGTGTCCTACGAATGATTTCTAAATCCGAAAACTATGCTTGTCATTATTGCGGTCTAGTTGGCCTTTTCACGGCCGCATGTCATGAGAGCGTAACTGAGGTGCGTATTGAAATTAAGATTTACGGCCTGTAAGCTGGTGCAAGATACACGATGCTTTGGTTTTTCAAGACTATAGTTCTATTGTTCACTTCCCTCACACTTTTTCTATCTCTCTAACTTCTACATACTTCGTTCCCATGTTCTTGGACCCTTCTTGTGTGCGATGAAAAAAAAATCCGTCCATTTTGTAACCAAAATGGTGTTATTAGCGTTCCGAATGGTTTTCCTTGATAGATGAAGTGTACTTCTTTGTGTATTTCATGTTTTCCTTTTTTACGTCCAAAGATTCCACTTCGGCGTCCAAAAACCGGTTTTTTGCAAGTGTAGCTAAGAATGCCAATCCATGAAACAGCCCCGGTATAAAATCCGTGTTCGACAAGACATCGACAGAATACGAAGGGTCATGGAGGTGTTGTGTGATCAAAAAGTGATGTATCTACGTGAAAATATTGAAAGAGAAGCAGTTTAGGTCAACCCAGTGCACTAAATAGTTGTTGCAATAGAAAAGTTTAACGCTTTACTCCAGCCATTTCTGCGGCTGACCCATCGGATGATATGTCATTGGGGGGCACTTGAGGTGCGCATTGAAATCAATGTTTACGGTCGTGAAAGGGTCAAATAGAATCTAAGAGTTTACGCAACCAATACATAAAGATTCAAGTGAAAGTTTCGGAGTACCAACAGTACAACACAGTGCATCTTTTCTCCTTTCAAACGGGGTTCGCATTATTTGTGAATGGATATCCCAGATGGTACAACAGTATTAATCTCAATGTGTAAAAAAAATAGTGAAGTACTACTACCAAAATAGGAGTTGTACGACGCTTCAGTTACATTCGCTAGCATATATATATATATATGTATATATATGTATATATATATGTATATATATATGTATATATATATATATATATATACTGGACTTCCCAATAGTTTACCGCCTCATCGTGGCTAGGAGGTGTTCCTGGGTGTCGGGCCAGAGATTTTCCTGCGGGGAGATTCGACCATATGGGGAGTCTCCTACTCTGAGAAGTCCGGCTTTTCCAACAGAAAGCCCAACTAAGAGTAAACCAATACCAGGATCCACTACCGTCCTGGTATGGAACTAGTCGCGTGGCGGTAAATCTCCCTCTGATCCACAAGGGCCGCGACTGCCTGTGGTGGTGACGGCCAAGGGCAGACTTTGGCTAGGCTTTCCTCGGGACTCCAACAATGGTTAAACCCGCAACTCTCCGGAGAATGGAAATTATGCTGGGATCCACACAACCAGTGAAGACGGGCCATCCAAGTATCCAACAGTATATGTGCTATAAATGGAATAGTTATAGCTGGACATACCCTCATTTTTCGAGCAATCCTCCTGCACGCGTCCTCAAGAAGAGCTGGAATGTCCAAGTAATTGGCTGCCTGTAATGTTAATACCATAAACTCTACTAAACAGGATGATAGTTAGCACTTATTTCGAAGTCTTATAATAAATGTACCGTAATGAGTTCAAAAAGCGTAGGATGGTCAATGTTGAAGAAGTCATTGTCCCACTGCTCTAGCACGTTCTGAGAACCAGCACGATCATCTCCAACGTACCTATGCTTCTCGCACCACAGTACTATCTGTATCAGAATATACACTTAGAAATAAAAGTTGATCGAGGTCCTATAATGTCTATTATGTTATTATCACACAAACAAGGCATGGTGTAGCATAAAACCTTCAGTGGGCTTGTCTCAATGAACAAAATGTGCTCCTCACTCGACAGTTTCCCTACAAGTAAATGGAACGAGAAGTACCAGAATTGGGTGAAAACTAGCGTAATTAAAGCAAATTCCGCTAAGGATTACATTTCATAGGACAAAAAACCGTATATAAGATTACCTTTTTGAAAATATTTGCGCTAACGTTTGGAATTGGAACTGGCGTGTCATCATCTTGCAGATTCAAGTCCTAAATTCTAAAAACTCATACTAACACTTGATGAACACACTGGAAAGGCAAACCTCGGACATCGTACTGATGAGTTTCGACATTCCTATGATCGATGCAGCCACTTCGAAAATCTCATTGTCTTTCGTTTGCAACTTATACAACTTTTCGCTGGTACGCTTCTCGGTGGTCGTGTTAGTAGAATTGCTCCGAGATACCATTCCGGACACGGCGCTATAGAAACAACACCTCGTGTTGAGTGACAGTTTTCGGATAGAGAGAAGTCGTGATCAAATCGATCATTGCTTACTCAGAAAACCTATGAGTTGAGGTTACGAATTTCGTACTGCTTATGAGGCTCAAAGAAATGTTTTAAAAAAGATAGAGGATAAAGCTCTCGGTGTTGATCAAACACTGAGAGATGCACCATGCATTCGGCTTCATCAAGCAAAGTCGGAGGTGATTGAATGCATATTTGGCCTTTACAATAACCTGCGGTGCCCAACCGATGCATCGAGCCAGTGCTCCTGCTCTCCCGGACAAATCTGGTACCAATTTGCTGATCCCGAGGGATGGAAGGGTTGGTGAGCTTGGGGGCGGAGATCGACCCTATGTGTATTGCAGGGAGCCTCCGACCACTGCGCCACATGGGCCCCATACATTACATACTTCAGAGCACATTACATAAGAAATGTTAGGTTTCAAACATCGAAAGTTTCTACACGCGAACCACGAGCTGAAATGATACAGTCGAAAAAAAGGCAGAGAAAAATCGGAATCAGGAGCTGAGAGCACAATGTCGCGGAGTCGCCAACTTGCCATCTGTTGAGGAAATCCGTGCTAATTCAAATATTTCATTCAGAATTATAAGAAAGAGCCCAACTAACATGATTTCTTAAGCGCGTTGATAAGCTGCTGGAAGTGGATCGTTCTCATGGAAAAAGATGCGTGGTCCCATCAGCTACGGTTGAGTAGTTCAAAGGCACAAATGACAGATGTTAACAAGAAACCGCAATCATCGGACAATAACGTATACAAGAATTTTCCAGAGAAGACGAGAACTCCGTTACTTTGGACCACTTTCCTAACTACGGCAAACGAAGACTTAAGATCAGCCGGATTGAAAGTTCAGAGCTCAACACGGAAACAACATGGTCCCGACTATGAAGAATGTAGTGAGTATTCGCACTCTGAAGAAAATCTCATCTCAAAAACCCTGTGAAGACCTAGACGTACACTTTTCTGTAGGGCATTAGAAACCATCTCCGCAGTTCTCGGCAACCATGTGAAGATAAACATGTGACTGTCATTTGATTCCAAAAGACAAAAAACCATGGATCTTTCTATCAAATCACTGAGGGCACACAAATCAAGCGTCTTCGACATGAGATGATTTGAAGAAAAAAACGAAAAAATGGCGAAAAGAAAATCGCGATGTGAACCAATGCGCGTCTCACGCGTACTCTTACCAAATTTACCGACTTCGATGCGGTTCGTGTCAGGACCAACTGTGGCAATCGATCGATCTCCGGCATTTTGAGAGCATCCCATTTGACTTTTAAAGAACTGGGTTTTGAAGCGGTGTTCTATGCTTGGGGTGAGTTGTTTGGAAGGGACCTGTTCGTTCGCTGCTAGAATTTGGCCTAAGTTTCTCATCGGCCGAAGTTATTTCTAACACGAACTTCAAGATAGATTTCGCAATAAAACTAGACTTGAAACACTAAGTAGAAATTGACAGCAAGAACTCTGCAGTCTTCACTACGGGCGCGTGTGGCGCAGTGGTCAGAGGAGCCCTGCAACACACACGTGGAGTCGATCCCCGCACCCATAGCCCGCCAAGCCCTCCATCCATACGGGTTCGGCAAATTGGCACCAGACTTGCCTAGGAGGATAGCAGAACAGGCTCGATACAGTGGCGCGCTAGCGCAAATCATTGTAAAGGCGAGATGTGCATTCAATCACCTCCAATGATACTTAATGAAGTCGAATGCATGATGCATCCCAAATGGATTGATCAACGCCGAGAGCTTTATCCTTTTATCCCGTGTTCACTGGTGGTGCCAGCCCCAGCTCAATTTCTATTTTTTTGGAGTGGTTTAGCCACTGTGGCTCTCTGGAGTTCCGTGGTCAGCCTGGCCAAAGTCTGCCCCAAGTCGTCACCACCACAGGCAGTCGCCGCCCTTGTGGATCAGAAGGAGATGTACTACCATGCGACTAGTTTGGTACCAGGACGGTGTCGGATCCTTGTATTGTATTGTATTACTCTTGCTTTGGCTTCCTGATGGAAGCGGCGGACTCCTTTTCAGCTTGGGAGACTCTGCCAGGAAGATGAATCCTCCGTTGTACATCACAACCCGACTCCCAGGAACACCTTCCAACCACGATGAGGCGGCAAACCGTTGGGGGGGGGGGGGGGGGTCTTAGCATCATAGTGGTTGTGCTATGTTTCACATATTTTAACATCTGCCACATATTTTAATATTTGGCATGATACCACACCGTGAAAAAGTCAATAGGAAGCAAATGAAAACTTAAACATTGTGATTTCGACTGCAGCTTCACCTTAACTAGGTTTAATGCTTTTTTGTGTTTGTGCTCTTTGGATTATTTCCGTTGACGTGTGACTACTAATAGCACCGCTAGGGTAAGAATATGGTGCACAGTGGTGTAGTGGTTAACACATGAGCCCTCGAAAAGTAATCACGGGTTCAAATCTGAAGAATAGGTTTTTAAAGCATCTCAGCATCGTAATACCTTATTAATCAAATGTTGAGATAACGAAAAAGTATCTTGAGGATGCTTAACTATTTGAGCCATCATTTGAAAAAGGATACAAAAATGGTTATTCAAAATTGAACAACAAAGGGGTTAAAGTGGCAAAAGCGGCTAATTTAAAGCCATCACTAGGTTTTTAATTTAAACTTAAATTGCCACCATGTTCCGTTATGTACGTACTTACAAAAACTCATAAGTGAGTGTGCACTTTGACCATGCGTCTACCGACCCATCATTATTCAAGATTAGACACAGCGTCAGTTGTTCAGACGGACCCACGGAAAGAGTGTCTCGGTTTACAAAGCTAATACACAACCAGTCCCTGAAACTCATCCCAGACCATCTCACGAATACCTAAATATTCCTGGATCGTCTACGTCACTCTCGTACCAACAGCACGTGCGTGATTTAGACCTTCGACGTTACTACGTCGTTCACCTATATCGCCTGTATCACCAGTAATCCCGTTGATTGTCGACAGACTCGAACGGGCGCCAGTAAATCTACCATTTTACCCTGTCGCGTGCAAGAGTAGCCCAGTGGGTTCTGCTCGCTTTAGGGATTCTTCAAGTATCATGTCTTTCTTCTGGGCTCTTCGCGAAGAACTCTGACAGTCGGGTCAGGGGTCTTCCTGCAGTACCTTTGACATCCCAGGGAATCCAGTCACTAACGGCTCTTGTCCATCGGTTGTCATTCATACGCATTACGTGCCCGGCCTATCTTATCTTCCACTGTTTGGTGTAAAGAACGGCATCTTTGACTTTTGATCGTTGACGAAGGTCGGAGCTTCGGATCCCATCCCTTACTTATGTGAAACGGAATACTCCTAGCATCGTCCTTTCGACTTCGCGTTCGATAACGCTGAGTGACCTTTCATCCTACTTACGCAGCGACCAGGTTTCTGACGCATACGTTAGGGCAGGAAGTACCGTTGAGTCGAAAAGTGGGCACGGAGTCGGGTGTTCTTTATTCTTTTCACTACATCCCCAATGCTCTTGAAAGCTCCCCAAGCCGCTCCTTTCCTTCTGCTCAGCTCGGGAGCTAGGCCGTTCATTATATTGATTTCCTAACCTAGATAGATATAATTGGAGCATTCGGAGATATTCGTTCCGTTGAGCGTTAATAGGGCATACGAAACCAATCCGTTCCTCATGAACATCGTTTTTGTAAGATTTAGTGGAACACCAATCTTTCCACAGGCTTTATCAAAGTCGGCAAGCATACGTTCCGCTTGGTTTATGTTTGGTGTTATAAGCATGATGTCATCAGCAAAGCGAAGATGATGTAACTGCCGACCATCGATTTTCACTCCCATTTTATCCCACTCCAATGTTCGCATAACGTTCTGGAAGGTGGTGGTAAACAGTTTTGGCGAGATGGTATCGCCTTGCCTAACCACTCTTTTGACCTCAATGATAATATCGTAGGAGAATGGTAATATCTTGGTTCTGAAACTTTTGTACAGCTCACGAAGAATCTTTATGTGCTGAGTAGGGACTCCTTAACTATCAAAGGCTTCCCAGAGTGCTTCCATCTCAACTGAATCTTAGGCCTTCTGTAAATCGATGAAAGTGAGACAGAGCGGTCTTTTGTACTCTTGCGATACATCGTTGAGTGTTGTTATCGTGTGGATGTGGTCCATCGTACTAAATCCTCTTCGAAACCCTGCTTGCTCACATGGCTGTCCTTTGTCCAGTGTTCTGTCATTCCTGTTTAGGACGACTCGAGTGAAAAGTTTGTAGACGACAGACAGTAAGCAGATTGGGCGATAGTTGCCGATATCGTGTAGGTCACCCTGCTTGAACAACAACACGGTCTTGCTGGTCTTCCACTGAGTAGGGACCTTGCATTCAGACAGGTAACGGATGAAAAGCTGAGCCAGTGTGTTTACGAGAACTGACGGAATGTTCTTCAGGTGTTCCCGTCTTATCCTGTCCAGACCTGGTGCTGTTCGAATTTTCATCGACGAAATAGCATGTCGGATTTCGGAAGGGAGAGCCGGTGGTACAATACATCCATCCTCCTTTATTTAATAGGGAGGAGGGTGGACGTAGCTGTTGAGGAGATCTGAGTAGTTTTCGTGAATGATTTTCTCCATCGCCTTTCTGGACGCTTCTACTCTTCCATCTGGGCGTCGGAGTGCAATTGTCTTGGTCTTGTAACTGGTGAAGCTCCGGTGGGCTTTGCGAATGCTTTTCCTAGCCTCTACAGCTTCGACCATAACTGCTGCAGTTCTCCCTTTAAAACCATTTATCACCTGTCTGCACTGTTTTGCAAGTTCGGACGTCAGTTCGCGGTTACCTGTAGCTCGTGCGATTCCACGCTGACGTGTCAGTTGGAGTGTTTTTGAAGACAGCCGTCTCTTGGTGACCTCCGAACTCTCAGTTTTGATAGCACTAACATGAAGATGCTGAATGAGACGATCGAATTTCTCGTCGATGTTATC